ATGCATTTCATCAGGCCCTGGTGACTTGCAGGCATCTAACTTTTCTAAGTGATTTTTAACTTGTTCTAGACCTTTAATCATTTTGTTGCTCTTCTTTGGACTTTCTCCAATTTGTCCACCTCTTTCCTGAAATGTGGTGCCCAGAACTGGACACAATACTCCAGTTGAGGCCTAATCAGCGTGGAGTAGAGCAGAAGAATTACTTCTCATGTCTTGCTTACAAGGCTTCTGTTGAGTACATCCTAGAATGATGTTTGCTTTTTTTGCAACAGAGTTACACTGTTGACTCGTATTTAGCTTGTGATCCACTCTGACCCCCAGATCCCTTTCCGCAGTGCTCCTTCCTAGGCAGTCATTGCCCATTTTGTATGTGTGCAACTGATTGTTGCATAATGAAATAAATGCATAAATAATAAAATGTCCCTTCTCTCCATTATATAGACTACACTAGATGTAAATAATTCAGTCTCTATTCTAGAAATGAATAGCTGTTTGACAGACAGTATCTGATAATGCACAGGATGGGGACATTAAATGGCAGCCTCTCTCCTCACACAGTCATGATGCAGGACTTGATTCACATTCAGAAGACCTAAGTTCAATTCCTGGCTCTGACACTGGTTTGCTGGCTGACCCTGGGAAAGTCACTTGCCTCCCTGTGCCTCAGGTTCCTGATCTGTAAAATGCGGACAATGATGCTGACCACTCCTTTATAAAGCACTCTAAGATGTACAAATGAAAAGCGCTATGTCAGAGCGGGGTGGTGCTATATTATTTTGCCGGAATACAAGCCATTAAAATGCTCAGCCAAAAATCACCCATCATGCATATGGCAGAAGTACTGTATAAAAAGTAACCACTCATCAGAGACTAATAAGAACCAAACATATATGTAAGAGACCTGCACATTCTTTCATAACCTGTGTCATGTACTTCCGAAAAAATTAAGGGTCAGAGCCTGCCTAGACCTTCCCCTTTGGGTTCCCACAGAAGGGGCCACCCACACTCACAGCAGGGAACACAAGGACTTTCAACCTAGTGCTGGTCTCCCGAGAAAGGGTTGGCCCAGTGCAGCTGTCAATGAGGGGAGTGTACACCGGACCTTCTGAAGGGGGAGGGCAGCGGCTGGAGTGAGTTCTTTCCAGAGCCCCCAGAGGAATTCTGGGAGAGCCGGCCAAAATGCTTCCATGGGCTCTCTCTCTTGGGTGTCCTCACCACCCCCGCTCCCCAACACAAGAGGTGCCTTAAAAGCTATAGCACATGGCTGAGATTTTAAAAATATACATCAGTCCAAAGAGAGGACCCAGCACCAGAGCTAGAACAGGGGAAGGGGGATTAGGTGAGCCAACTTTTGAAACGAATCTGACCAAGAGTTCACTTCGCTGCAACCGCTCCTAACACAACTGTACAGGAAACCCATCCCCTGCCAAGCTTAGCTGCTGTTCATGAAGACTGGGCCTGAAGCGAACGTCCTGGCTTGGGTTAAAGAACTGAGGATTGACCTGCTGACAGGCCTGTTAGGGGGAGACTCACACAGAGTTAACAAATACAGTGCCCAAGGAATACTCAGGAACTGCTTCCAAGCACAGCTAAAAAGATATTAGAGAACTACAGGAACCGAGCCTCTCAGCACAACCAAGCTGCGTATGAATGAAAGCCAGAAATCCCGCTATTCCAGCTGGGAACGCTTCTGGCAGGGTCAGTCTCTTTGAACCTCTCTAAGCAGCTAATGTGGGGCTGGAACACGCACAGGAAGCCCAATTTAGGGCCACCTTCTCCTCTGAAATAGCCCTAAAAGGAATCAGCCAACCAGCAAGAGCTAAGTCATGGACTAGTGGGGGAGGGCAGATTTTAATGTAATTAGGGTTTTTTAAAATTAAAACCAGCCTTTTGGGGGTCTTTTGTTTTTTGGTTTGGAGCCATCAGGAATCATCAAGCTGTGCGACACTCAGCATCTGAGATATAAGCTATCTTCGTTACCCACTGCTGCCCTCGTGCTGTTTGCATCTAGTCTTAGAATAGGGACATAGGACTGGAGGGGACCTCCTGGGTCAAGTCCAGTCCCCTGCTATATCAGGCAACCCTGTCATATCATCCCTTCCCATTCATAAACATATCTAGATCCATCTTAAAACTACAGTAACTCCTCACTTAACATTGTAGTTATGTTCCTGAAAAACGCAACTTTAAATGAAACGATGTTAAGCGTATCCAATTTCCCTATAGGAATTAATGTAAATGAGGGGGTTAGGTTCCACACACACACACACACACACACACACACACACTATTAAGTTTAAACAAATTAATTAATACTAGTACATAGTGATGATGTATTGTGAAGCTTGGTTGAAGTGGAGGAGTCAGAGGGTGGGATATTTCCCAGGTAATGCCTTCATGC